TCTGTTGTGTTTTATGTCTAATGTTTCAGACATACTTTTCATACTATCACTATGAAAAAAGATTGCCTACAACGGACGGCTGTAAACAAGCCTTATAAAATGTTTGTATATGTCTAACTCGTAATGCTTCTGAAGGCAGAGATGTAGTAGTGATTGGGTAAAATATATGTTGTGATATTCCACCGTAATTTGCCTTCTGCCAGCTGTCGACAGTTCGTTCAAGACATCAGTATTACAGTTTGTCAGGCGAGCGACATATAAAAAAAAATCATGGAAGCTATAAGTTATCTATATATTTTAACGATACGCCTCCAGATATACAATGGTTTGATGGTCATCGGTGATGTTTGTATCACAGACAGCAAATAAATAGGACTTTGTAGGAGGTAAAGCAAGGTGTGAATTAATGCCAGTACAGGTAGGCAAATCCATTGAGATATTCTCAGCTCACTACAATGACAAGGTGTAAGGAACAACTGCAGAACTTTATACCAAACAAGGCAATGTAACTACAGATCATAAAGTTTTTGAAATTTTTTTACCACCTTTTCAGGGCTCTCACACCCCATTTTGGGACTGGGGCCCGGGGCCCTTAGAATTGGGGAAAATAGTGGCGTTTTCCTTAGAATTGGGAAAACTTGGGGTCTAAATTGGGGAAAAAAGATACTATTTTGCATTGGGAATGGGGCCAAATATCGGCCCCAAATCTGGCAGATCGAGAGCCCTACTTTTTGTCACATCAAACAATAATTTGAATTTAACTAGCCCTGTGCAAAAATAGCAATAGAATAGAAAAATAAAAAAAAAAAAAAGCTTTAATTTTCAAGTCTTTTTCAGGGTATTTTTAGTTTTAAAACAAGGGAGACATATTCTTGAGATACTGAATGAAGCATTTTACAATTTTGACATGAAGACAATTAGTAAAATGGTACGTCTTTGGAGAATTTTAAGCATTTTCCCTAAATTGGCATGGCATAATGCATTCACAAAAATGATCAAAAATGACTTTTGACCCTTTAAACTTGACTGATACAATAAGGTGTAGACCTTGTTGTTATGATACAAACGGGTATCAACCAAATTTCAAAAATTAAGACTTAATTCAGATTGATGTAACAGGACAGTTAAACACCGATAAAACTATCGGAACACATGTCACTTACTTTTTCATGTTTCAATATTGTCATCTGTATCAATTTCTCAAAAATATTTCCACATGCTAAAACTTTTTAACCTTTGTTTGAAACAGCTAAAAATGAGGCTGAATTATCAGAGCAAGAAGAAAGTAAAGTTTAAAGGGGTTGTGAACTTTGACCTTTTAGGAAATCACTGTAATTATGATAAAATCAAATGATAGATTGTTCTGGAGCCAACAGCATAATGTGCAGTATATCACAATCACTGAAAACAATTTCTGCTTGGTGATCTATAATAGGTGGTCACAAGTCACAAGCATTTGTTGTGGTACAGAATCAGGACAGAGACTGTGAGTATTTTAACCGCAACACATTTGAAACAAAAAGGAAATAACATCAGATATGTTGTCTGTCATGATGAAGGTTATTAGTGAAAGCTACCTCTGATTCCAAAAATAAGATATTGTTGGATTCCTGGCTACCTGATCACAAAATTAATGTTAAAATGTTGAAGGGTTAATTTGTAAGAAGAGGCATCAGTTGCTATGACAAACTGAACTTAAACAGTTAGAACATGACCCTGAAGACAACTCAGATGGTAGTGTTAAGTATCTGTCGGTGTGTGTAAAAAAATGTATTACAAGCTTTCAATCAGATTTCAAATTTATGCGACTCTTATACAGGTCACTGTTTCGTCGGAGGACTGATTATCACACTCACCTAAGATAAAATTGTCCTGGTTCAAATTTCCATCAATTCTCTCAAGTTGTTTTGTAATTTTGTTATAAATGGTCATGAAAACCACACACGTACACCTGAAATTCGTGGTGTAATTTGGCTTCCTACTGATCAGTCATGTGTGACACAAGTGTAATAATGGTTAATATCCATAGCACTTAGGCCCCGTTGCAAACGTTGTCATAGCAACTACACAAATTTAGAAATTCTCCACATATTGCCATGCATGGTTTGCCTTATACACACAACTAGTTAATACATCCTACGATTATTCATGTTCCTTCCTTCGATTGCAAGATGCCATCAAACTTGTCCTATTTTCACACAACTTTGAACCAAATCATGTCGCGCTAATAAAATCCCTATATCATCTCCCCTAAGTGACCACACACGATATCCTGAATCCTATACTATATTGATTGATCTGGTGGCCGTTTTCACTCGGCCTACAAAGTGAGGGGCCGAGATGGAGGCCTTCGCTCTGTGTGTTTTCCCTCCACATTTTCCTCCCTGATGGACTAGCAACCGAACTCTCTATCACTGGTCTATCATAAGCACGACACAAATATACAGTGGCAAGTGTTTTTTAGTACTGTACATAAGATACTATCCTCTGACGGGCGGTACCCAAAAACTACCCACCCACAAACCATCCCACCCTCTCATAATTAAACTACCACAGTCTATGTGAATTATTACAGTAACATAAAAGCTTATTCCCTCACTAAATGTATACAAAATTAATGTTAATATTTCAAACGGTTTCCTCGTTTTGATTACCAGTTAGATATCATATTATCTAAAAGCATCCAACTAATAAAATGTCTGGTTAGGAAATTACACGAGAAAATAAAATGTACGATGTTAAATTAGCAATGACCATAAGCTAGGACAGATCTATTAGAATTAAAATTTTACAGACAATTTTTTTTCTGAATTAAATACATATTTCCACTTGATCATACAAGATTATTCATCCAAAAGATACCATCAGACACAGGAAGCCACTTCCTGCGGGCCAGACATGATACAGACAATGAAAAGTATTTCCGCTAGCCCAGATTTTGAATGGTGAGGTCACAGTGATAAAGTAGACATCCTTATGACCAATATCCATATATCTTGACCCTAATGTGCTATATTTAAACATTTTTAAGACATAATGAGAACCAATAACCTCATACCTATATGCCACAAAGAGAATTCTCCAGTGTTACTAGGCATCAATTTACAGGTCATTCAACTGAAAACTTCATCTTGTTTTCAATGACTTGAAGCCATTTTCAGATTTCAATACTTTAAACAATGCATAAAGTAAATGCGAGTTCTGCAGACAGACACCACATTTTTAAAGTGATGTCTATAAATGAATGTGAATGTATGGCAGGTCATTACTGGCTCAATTCTAGATTTCATTTAATCCTGTTTTTTTTCCTGCTTTATGTAACAGTCTGATTTGAATTTTTTTCTATTTCCAATTTGGAAAATTTAAAAGTCTATATATATACTATGACTGTTGTAAAGATTTTCATCATGGCCACTGTAGCTGGTATTTTGAATGTTAGCAAGGTCTAAATTTCAGTTGGGACTATCTAAATTCATCATGATTTCTATTTCAAACGTATTGTGAATTTTACCTACCTTGATAATAGTGTACATTGTCATAATAACCATCAGTTGTCATAGCAGTGGATTGATAGTGGAGAATTATAGTGATAAACATGTACAACAGAAAAAGGTAGATATAGAGATAAAAAATTTCTATATTGATATCCGGGTATTTTCATTATTGTGGGTATTTAGTGAGAATAAGGTATTTTAATGAGTATGGGTAATTAATATAAATCTGTTGTATTACAGGTGATTTTATAGTAACATGATTGTTGAACATTGTATTAATAGTAGCTAGGTTTTAAAGATATTTGTGGGGTATTATAATGATTTTGAGATATTACAGTGATATTGGAATATTATAATGCATTATGAGGTGTTACAATGATACTGGGTTAAAAGTACCAGTGGGGTTCTATAAAGATAGTGGAATATTACGCCAGTGTATTAAAGTGGTATAGCTGTGGTAGTTGAATTACGAGCAGAATGTCTGTATATCGTAAGTAGAATGTGTGTATGGCTCTATTGTATGTTTCTCCAATATTTTGACAGCCCGACTAACATAAAGCGACATATATCTGTCTGGGTCGTAGTACGCCACACACCTGTATACACCTGGATACACCTGAGTCAGTGATTCATATCTGTACTGTGACCTGACAAGCAGAAATGTCACACGCATACATGTCTCACACTCACACACGTTTTATACAAAATATTCAAAATTCGCATAGCATTGGCTATATACAGTGCAGAATTAAAAGGATAAAATGATTCAGACGGTCGATAATTTACTGCTTACCTAGATATTTATTGATAAGAGTTGGAAGTAGGTCAAAAATTTTCCCATGTATTCAGCAGACATTTGTACCAATAGTAAAGAAATTATCTATTCTAACTAAGGCATACCAATAGAAACAGAGATAAGCATGAGTTAACAGTACACACAGGACTAAATGTGGTGGCACTTGAGAGTTTTTGCTGTAGAATCAAGCTAATCACTGTAGTACTGTGTTATGATGTGTTACTCTTTACTGTCTGTATCTAATAACAGACAAAACAACCCCAGTCTGGGAAAGGTCAGCAAGGGGCACCGTGACCCTCTATATGCACAACATATGACAATGTACCTACCTTTACCTCTGACGCTAACCAGAAATGTACATCCATATTTAAACCGATTCCAGGCTATGTGGTGGTTCACACGTCAGACAGACACACCTACAGACAGGCAGCAGACCATGCCCACCGTTAGAATCACTCAAGCGGAAAACCACAGTACTGTATAGAATAGCAGTGAAGTCTGCTCTGACCATAACAACAGACCAGTGGGTAACAACCAGGCCATGGCCAGATGAGGTCATGACCTGGTGTGACCCCTTGACCTCACTAGTGACCTGCTGATGTCTGATAAAGGGCCAGAGTTGCTGTGTCTAGCAGTGTTTACACTAGGGCAACAGGTGCTGCCTTAAGGATATATATAGATACTGACAGCAGACAGAGGCCTGTACTTACTTTACGGGGTCTGCTGAAGTACTTGTCCTAGACAGGAGAAACCCACACAATCTGTCCCTCATTGTTGTCTCCCGAGTACAAGTGTAGTAGGCCGAGGGGTGAGGGGGTCCACAAAAAGGATGACCAGATGTCCATCTCCGAGACATGCCAGACTACTATATACATTTGTATGTTTGTTGTGTTGATACATCCATCAGGACACATTGCACAGGAATACAAGTTATGCTCGAGTCTTTTTTCAAAAACCCTACAAGTTCATATGCAAGTCTTAATCGGGGTAATCTACAGGTATGTCTTAAAAAATCCTCAGGTATGACTTCATCGAGTACAAGTGTACAGGTAAGTCTCCTCATAACAAGTATTCATAGTTTATATTCGTACAGCCAGATGTACAATAAGTCTGATTGACAGGTATACAGGTAAATTAAAGAGGAAAATTCCACAGGTGTGTCTTAATCAAGATAATTCACACCAGTATGAAATTAAGTCTTAAGCGGACAAATCCACAGATCCAAACAGACATCACAATCTGAATGTTTAACGGTTATTGTCAGAGCAATCCACTTTCACCAAAATCTACACAATTGTCTTCATTATTGTTTAGACAAGTGATTCCTACTTCCAATATCCACGGGTCAGTTGTTCAATAGGTGATTTTTTATTATTAGCATCCAAAGGTACGTTGTCACCCAGATTAATTCTCATGATCAACATCAACACATAAGTTGTTTGGAACAGATATTTTTTTTATGCTTGTCATCCATAAGTGAGGTATGGATTCTTATAATAAGATATAATTTTTTGCGACATACAATTTTTTATGATCAGCATTCACCGTTAAATTGTCCAGATGAATTCTTATGACTAGTATCCACAGGTGAATGGTTGAGACACACAAACTCTTATGATCAGCATCCACAGGTAAGTTGTTGAGACAGATGAATTCTTATGACTAGGACAAGTTCATTTATGGTCAGGTGACTGCTCCATTCTCCACACACAGACAGGTGAGCTCATTAGCAGTTGGCAGTTTCAGGTGTACTCACCTGAGTTCAGCACTACTCCAGACATCACCAGGTCTGCGTCATCTGTCAACAGAAAGTAGCCAGTCTATGAGACATGTCAGCCCTGCCAATACCCCATAGCCTATATAACCCACATTGATTTTGTATACTAAATCTATAGACAACCTCAGTCACTTGTGTATTGGCACAGACCTGTATGAATTATACAAACTTTAACAATAAAGTAAAGTATTAAACTTCAATCAATCCCTGGGCTGTCTGGGTCATGTCTTATTTATAATACACGTCCCAGTAGCTCCAATATACATAAGCGCAATGATAAATTATAAAAATAAAAGTCAGTAGATTGAAATGTAATTTTTCTGACTTATCATCAGGAGAGCATTTGTATTCCTATACATGTACATGCAGTTGAGAAACAGTTGAATTCTAATTTACGTCTGATGATTCACATAATTCTGTCATAATTTTCATAAAGTTTTTAAGGGTTGCTGTCTGTTCTATTCATAGACATGCTGATCAAGTGTGTGTAATAATTTAAGCTGATCACACGTCTCCATCTGTATAGTGAGTTAATTTTTCTGAGCTGAATGCATGGGCAAAGTACATTTAGTAGTTTATATGAATGTTGTCATTGAGTTTAGTTTAACTTTGGACAAAACAAAACAAATGACTCAGGGCATACTTGTACATATCAACATGTACTTCAATATCTCTCCTTCTCTCTTCTTGCCTTTTGTTTTACTATAAATTATAAATTTCAATTTTTTTTTGAAATAGCCATAATAATTTTCCTCTTTTGTATAATAGTAAGACTTCAGATTAAAGAGTAAATGTCTGTAGTTGTCAAATCCAAGATTGCTGCCTGTAAACAATTAATAGCCAAAGAGAACCTACGTTTTTCTAAGATTTTGCAACATCTAACTTTAATAGCCAAAGACAAATGGCTATTTTGTTTTTCTGATCAGTCCCAAAAACAAACGGGTGAAATTAGGGAAAACCAAGAGAACTTCAAAAAATAACATTGATAAATTTTCATGGTTAAAATCAAAGATGGCCACCTATCAGTAACTTTCCTTTCAGATCAGTCAGAAAATGAAAAGGGCACAACCAGGGACCACAGGGAATCTACATATAAAAATTGATCCATGAATTACTTCTCAAGAAATTGGGATAACAAATTATGACTGTCAAAACTTAAGATGGCCATCTGTTACTCCCTCAACCAAAAATGGAAGCTGTGGAACTAGGACCAAAAAACAAACCTGTCAACACAAGGATGGCCACCACCAGATATCGTCACAAGGATCTGTGACAAGTCATAAACAGTAATATCTTGTAAAGGTGACGTTTTCCTGTCTGCTTGCTTTATAAATTAAATCTGCCTTCTTTATTGCAGGTTACGCCCACACTAATATTGTACCCTCTGTTAACAAGTTACAACACCATTGATCTATAAATCTAATGGGGCATATTCTTGGTAATAACTTAAAAGACATTGGCCATGTTTTCTTGGGTTAATAGTATAACCAAACAGTCTTTCAAACAGAGTGAACGACTAGGATTTTAATGGATTTTGTTACTACAGGGGAAAAGTGATCAGATTTTCATTGCTCCATACAGCACAATTCAATCAACAAAACATTACATGTCGTATTGTCTGCAAACACTCATCATCAGTATTAGGACTAGATGACCATTGCTAAGCTAAAACTGTAATGATATAGCATATAAAACACCCAAATGCATGGAGGAACGTAATTTGAAATCTCTTCTCAATATACATGTTGACATTTGATTTCATTTTTTTTTTTTTGGGATTGAACTGTCAACATCTGATTAAAATCTATCATATAAGTGTATATCATTTTTTGAGTAAATTGTATATTGATGATTTATCAGCAGTGGACCCCCCCCCCCCCCCCCCCCCCCCCCCCCCCATGCAATTTTCACCACAGAAATTCTAAAAATTTGGCAAGAAAGCAGATTCTTCTTTAAAACTGATGATTATTTTGCTGTGGTTTCACAAGTCTGCATCCACTAACACAGAGTTTCATAAAAAAGGAAGAAACATATGATCCATTTTATCAAATTTGATTGATGCAGTATTAAATTGTCCTTGAATAATAGGAACTGAAAAAACAGTTAACTAGAGAACAAAAAACTGAGTTATTGCAATCCATCCAAGCAGTTCTTTTCACTGCTAACTTGGTTACTTCCCTTGGGATAACTCTCCAAAAGGCTTCCTGTTAAACTGTACAGAAGATGCCTTGTGTGTTGCAACATTTTTCACAAAGGAGAAACTAATAAATGTGTATTTAATCAATACCTTTAGATCAGTTTATGTTAACAATGCTTTACTTTACTACAACAATGAAAAAATGTCTGTTTTATGGCACATCTGTATCAAGTTGGAATTATAGATAAAATATGAATTGTCTATACAATAAGATTTATCTAAATTCTCAGTCTTCATTGAACTCCCACAATGTAACAGATACTAAGATTTACGATTATCTGCTTGGTTATAGCTAATGATATACAAATGTCATTCTAGTACAATTTTAGAGAATTAGGCAAAAGAAGACATATGAAATAATTTATTTCATGAAATTCACGATGTTTAAATATAGACCTAATGGTCCCTATTTGAATTTTTGTTTTCACTATGAAATTTATATTTATTATTATGAAATAACTGAAGACAGATGTAAATCCAGATATTTTGTCCAGATCTGTTCCTCTTTTGCATTAGTGTAGCTACTTCCTCTTTGCCCATGATCAAGTTTTTTGGGGGAGAACCAATTTTTTTTTTAATTTTCAGAGAAAGAAATGTTCCTTTGAAATGCGTTTTTAATTAAGATGCCAATTAAGTAGTATTTTAAACACTGATATGCTTAAATTATTGGCAATGTATGAGGAACGTCTGCACATTGTAACATCGTAAATTTTTCAAACTATTTCTGTTAAATCTATTTGATCGAATAGGTAGCATGTACATTGTATGTCTGTATAATGACCTCATCTTAACTATCATCCTGTGCTTACTCCTTTGTCTTGACAAATAGTCTACAGTTAATTATACAGCGAATAACTTAGGATTCAAATTTTCCTGGTTTTACTAAAACCTTGAAGTAGACATGATGTATTTTTCACAGAAGTTTGGAAACGGACTAGAGTTTTCTCTATTTACAAGCTATCTATTTCTTGTGGTTTGATGTCTTTTTTATATATAAGATATCAGAAGATAGAATCCCTGAAAAACATCACCTTGACAGCTGTGAGTCATGTACTGCCTATTGAAGCTACATTTTATACTATTAAATATCAATTGCTATAATATGATAACTACATCCAAATTAAATTTTTCAGGTTATCTGCTAATGATTTGTCTGTGACCCTGAGGTAGATTATAACTTCATCATGCATCCTTTGATGATGCGATTGATCCACCAAACATAGGACCTTATCTGTTTAATTCCTGTGAGTTTCCTCAACTCTGTCATTTACAATTTGCTGAACAGGAGGTTATTTAAAGGTGTAATCAAATCTAGTCATCCCTATAGATTCCACGAAGTCTAAGATGTCTTCACTTTCTTTCATTTAAATGTCATTAGAACAAGTGGATTTCATGGCTCAGACTTCTTATTCCATTACATTAGTGCGAATTTTATTAAGCGCAACTGAACTTTGTCCTGCTTGAAAGTTTACATTATATTTGTATATTTCGTTTCATATAAAACTTTTATCCAAAACCGATGATAAATTCCATATATAAGAATTTGAGTTTGTTCTTTAATATGTCAATAAATCAACGTCTTCTTTGTTTAAACCTGCTGCTCTAAAACCTAGGATAAGAGTTCAAAGCTTTTGTAGGTATATATCTTGTATTATCAATCTGTCTTTTTGGATAAAATCTTCTAAGATATTTTCCAATTTAGTCTTTTTGGATAAAATCTTCTGAATTGTTTTCCATCAATCTGTCTTTTTGGATCAAAATCGTTTAAGATGTTTTCCAATCTAGTACATCTAATGATGTTTTCTTCATAAGATGACTTCATCAGCATAAATTGTTCCTGTTTACATAAGACAATCTGAAAAATGGACTCGTCAAAAATTTCCAAATTATATAAGTTCCTGCAGGACTAAGAATTGTACC